GGGCCCTGCCGCCCCACACGCACCTCCATATGCAGAGCAGAGCGGGACCGCTGTTCCCCGGACGGCAGCCCGGCTTCACGGCCTCTCCTTCTCCCCACGCAGGAACCTGGACCCCATTGTGTGGCTGCCGGGAGGAGAAAGCCTGAGAGGCTTCGTTCTGGTCACCATGCTGGTGGAGAAGGTGGCCGTGCCCGGGCTGCAGGTACCGTTGGGCACGCCCCGGGTCCGGGGCGAGGGACATGGCCTCTCGGCCCGGTCCAGCCCTGGCCGTCGCTGCACTCCAGCTCTCCCCCAAGCTCCTCCCAAGCCTGCGTGTGCACGCGGCATGGAGCAGCCTGTCCTCAACCCCCTTCCATGCACAGCGCCGCAATGGGCCATGCTCTTGTCCCGGCTGGCCTCCCTCTAGCAAAGCAGCTCCCCCCTGCCCTCCACAGCCCCTCAGGGGGCCTAGGAACCATTGTAGACAACGAGGGCTGGAAGAGACTATATCTAGCTGGGCCATACAAACTGCCCAGGACGGAGATGCTGCCAGCTCTCGGGGGAACCTGTCCCAAGGCTTCGCCGGCCTCCTCGCAAAACCACCTTCTTGCTAACATCTCACCTCGCCCTCCCTCGCCGCAACGCAAGCCAGTCGCTCCTGGGCCTCTCGCCCGCTGCCACCGCAAACAGCCCCACTCCCTCCTCTTTCCGACGCCCCTCCCAGTGAGTCGCCTCTTCTCCTGACTGCATTGGCCCAGTTCCCGCAGCCTGTCCTCGCAAGGCAGGTCCCTCAGCCCTGCGAGCCATTGCTATTGCCCCCCACTGGACTCTCCACTTTATCCCCAGCATTCCTGTAGCGGGGGTGGGGTGGGGTGGGGTGGGGGACCCCAAAACTGCATCCCAGACTCAGGAGGTGCCCTCAGCAGCACCAAATCACAGAGAAGAATCACTTCCCGAGACCGGCTGCCCACACTCCTGCCGACGGCCCGGGATGCCACAAGCCTTCTTGGTGACCGCGGACTCCTAGTCGGCTCGCGGGCTGCCCTCGCCCCCGCATCCTTTCCCGCAGAGCGGCTGCCCAGGCAGTCGGCCCCCAGCCTGCCCCAGCCACCAGGCCGTAGGGCTCTGGCCCATGGCCGGGAACGCCACAACGCCCCACTCTCCTGACTTCTCTCCGGCAGGCCATCGCGGAGGCAGCCCCTGCCATCCGGCAGCCCAATGGGGAGACCCTGCTCCGAGCCCTGGCGCAGCTGGCGACGGCCCTTGGGGCTATGACCGAGGCCCTGATGCAGATGCACGGTGAGGACAGGCTCCCCTCGTGCCTCTGGCCCCGGGGTGGCCCCCACGTCCGCCGGCGGGCCTCTCTGACGGGCCGCCGCGGCGCCGTGCCTCTGGCCCCAACTGTCTCTGCCTTGTACCTGCTCTCCTAGATCATGTGGATCCAGACACCTTCTACACCGCGATCCGCCTCTTCCTCTCCGGGTGAGCGCCCGTGTGGGCCGCGCATCTCCTGGGCTGCTGTCTGTGGGCAGAGGGGGGCACAGAGGGGCTCCCCCGGGCCACGGTGGGGTCTGCCCTGGGGCGCCATCAGTGCGTCGTGGTGGCGGCAGAGCGTTCCCAAGCGAGACCCGGGCGGCTCAGAAACCCATCACCCCGCGACCGCTTGCTCCGCAGGCCCCGGGACTCTGCAGCCAGCTGAGTGCACCAGTGGCCCGCATGGCTGGCACACCGCCCTGCACCCGACCCTGCAGGCCCGGGTCTCTGGAAGCAGGGGTGCCACCAGGAGCGGGGGCTCGGGTTGGGCCCACGAGACCTCGCCTCCGCCTCCCCACCTCCTGCTGCAGCATCTCACCACCTCCTCCGCCCCGCCCAGGTGGCGGGATAACCCCGCGATGCCGGCAGGGCTGCTCTATGAAGGTGTGTGGGAGCTGCCACAGGCGTATTCGGGGGGCAGCGCGGCCCAGAGCACCGTGCTCCACGCTTTCGATGCCTTCCTGGGCGTCCGACACCACGAGGAGAGTTGTAAGTTGTGGCTGTCGCGAGGGCCGGTGGTGACCTCTCCTCGTCGGGCCCGCGCCCTCCAATCGGGCCGGGCACCGGCCAGGGCACCCTCGCACCTCTTGGGCTGTCTCTTGCAGCGGCCTTTCTGCACCGGATGCGCGACTACATGCCCCCCTGCCACAGGGCCTTTGTGGAAGCGATCGAGGCCTTGCCTCCCTTGAGGGAGCTGGTCCTCTCCTCTGGGAACGAGGCGCTCCGCCGTGCTTACAATGGATGCGTGACCGCGCTGGCCGCCTTCCGCACGCGCCACATCGCCGTCGCGACCAGGTACGTCGTCACTGCCGCCGCCACCAAGAGAAGCCGAGGCAGCCCCGGGACCGGCCCCCTGCTGGAGGCTCCTTCCGGGCCCGAGCAGCGGGGCACCGGCGGGTCCCCCGTCCTCCACTTCCTCAAAAGCGTCAGGGACACCACCCGAGAAGCCCTACTCAACGTTTAGCGGGCTCTCCCAGGCACCACGTCACGCCTAATAAAGAGAGCGCTTGCATGGCACCCGGGGGTCCAGGCCTCTCCGCGCCGTCATCCGGCAGGCACAAGGTGCTCCCCGTCGTTCCCCGCCCCATCCCGTGGCACCCGGGGGCGGCCACGGAGACCGCCGGCCAGAATCTGCCCGCTGCTCGAGGTGCTGCCATTCACCCCCTGACCAGGGCCAGGCCATGGTCAGATTTGGGCTATGGAGGACTAGGCAGAGACGTGTCCCTGGCCCTGATTGCCACCCCTCTCCCCAGTCCTGCTTTCTCCCTCTCTCTCCCCATATACCTCTTCCCTCTGTGGGTCTGTCGAGCTACTTATCTAGAGCGTGCGGGGGCACCCAGGCAGGCGCCCAAGTGCCCGGGGGCTTGCAAAGGCGGCGCCCTCGGCTTCCAGCTGACTCGCTTCGCCAACCAAGGGGCCGTTGTTGCCTGCTGGCCGCCAGAGGGCAGCGCCTGCTTGCTTGCCGCGGGAGACGGCTGCCACCCGGCTCCAGGGTCACCACGCCATGGACCTGGGGGCCTTTTCTCCGCTGGCCCGGGCACAAGCAGCGCCGTCGGATCACCGCTCCCCCCCGCAACCCAGTCACCTCGGGATAACGGCCAACCGAGCCCGGCGTCAGGCGGGCAGGGGCCTCCTGGGCCCAATGCCCTCTTCCTGTGAGGCGGAGCGCATAGGCCTCGGGTTGGGAGCCGGGATGACCGCGAGGCACACTTTTGGGACCACCCTGGGGCACACCTCCATGCCCCCGGGGAACTCTTTTGAGCACACGCTCGCCCGGGCCGAAAGGTGCTTGCGCTGTGCCAGGCTGCCAACAGCCGGCACCCTGGCTGCTGCGCTAAGTCACCACCCTTGTGTAAGGCGCTGGACTCGGGGCCAGGCTCGCAGTTAGACGTCCTTCTCGGGCCAGCCCCGACCGTGTCTCTGTGCTCCCGGGGGACTCTCCTGGACAGCTCCAACCAGGCCCTTGCCCGGGCCAGAGCGCGGCTTGGCCGTGCCAGGCTGACAGTGCCCCAGCCACCGCGCTAAGGCTCTGGACCCGAATAAGGAACTGGACTCGGGGCTGGGATGACAGCCACAACTCCTCGGGCCACCCCGTGCGACACCTCTCTGGCACGGGGGGACCCTCCCGCACACTGCTGAGGGCAGACTTGCCCGGCTCGAGCCGCGGTTTGGCCTTGCCCGGCTGCTGTCTCACGGCTCCCCAGAGGCTGCGCTAAGGATAAGAAGGGCTTGAATGAGGAACTGTTTTGCGGGCCAGGATTGGAGATGGAGGCCTGGTGGGCCACGCCACTGTACGACTCTGGGGCACCAGGCGACTCTCCCGGGCATCCCTGACCGCAGCACTGTCTGGCCCAAAGCGCGCTTCGGCTCTGCCACGCGGCCAACTCCAAGCCCCCGCTCCTGGCGACTGGACTAATGACAAGGGCTGGAATAAGGAGCGCTTTGTGGGCTGGGGCTAGAGGTGGAAATCCTTCTGTGGCACTGGCGGACTCCCCTGGCCACCCCTGACCAGAGTCTCGCCAGGGCCTGAGTGCGGTTTCGTCATGCTGTGCTGCTGACTGCTGCCCCCCCATAACCACCAATATAATACAAGCCCTAGTCTGGCCGCCTGCGTGCCTGTCTGTCTATCTGCTATGTTTCTAGCCCACTGTGCCTGCACCCCCAAACAACCAGCAGGGAGGGAGGAGAGACAAGACAGGCAGACACAGGCAGGGTCGGACCCAAAGTGGCAGGGAAGGGGGAGGGGGGGCAGGCCCATCCCAAAGTGGCGGAAGGGAGGAGGGGAGTGGGGTCAGATCCAAAGCGGGGAGAGGGGAAAGGAGTCGGACCCAAAGTGGTTGGGGAGGTGGAATGGCTCGAGCCCA